GCTATGCTAAGCAAGGGCCAAAGAAGAAGTGTCAAGCAGAAGAGGAGGCAGTGGTTCTGGGTCACAATGTGAATGTGGGACAGGCCCATCCAGATGCAGGCCCATCTGAATGTACAGGTTGGAATTACTGTGAGCTGTGGGGTCAGATTGTGGTTTCCCTCGGACTCCAGGAAACCAAGCACTTGGTTTCACCAGGAAGCACTTTAATGGAGTCTAATAAAGTGGAATGGGGAAGAACTGGATTCTGGGAGCGAGAGGGCTCTCCTGACTCCTGCAGGAGCAACTGCCTACAAGCTGGCCCCTCACCTGTTCAAGTACCCCAGCTGGTTCCTGGAAGCTCACCACCCACTCCTGCTGCAGGTTGCCCTCAACACAATAGAAGCTTCCGAAAGAGCCAGCACGTGAGGAGTGGTGTTCTCATGTCCAGTCTGCCAACCCAAAGGCCTCTCAGATCTCTGTCTCTGCTGGGTGCCCTATCTCCACCAGCACCAAGCCACAGGCAACAGCTTATTGTTCATCTTCTGCTTCTAGCCAGACACTGAGGCTGTCCATCTGGGTCCGGGCTCTTAGTGCATCCCTTTCTCCAGTCCCCTGCAGCAGTAGGCCAATCAGCCACACAACCCAGGAGAAGCACGGTGCCAGGAACATTACAGCTCCCAGGTGTCTTGTGCTGCAGCACGTCATAGCCTCCTCAATGAGCATCCATCCAACATGCTGCCCAGCCGATCCTGTTCCTCCTCAGAGAATCTTCTAGTGCACAAAACGACTGTATCACTCACCTCTGTAAAATCTCCCAGGGATTCCCATACCCTGTGGAAAGAGCCAACTTCAGCCCTGGTTCTCCAGAGGCTGTTCTGAGTCAGCCTCTCTCTCTCTCTCTCTCTCTCTCTCTCTCTCTCTCTCTCTCTCTCTCTCTCTCTCTCTCCTTCTTGCCACACATTTTCTTGCCACATTCCTGACACCCTTCACTCCTTTCTCAGGCCTCCCTTCTCCCCAAAACAGTCTGCCTCCACCCAGAGGTGGTAAATTCTGAGAGTAATAGTCTCTGCTGCTTATCCTCTCTCCAGCTTCTAGTCTGATACAGGCTTGATCTTCTAGTCTGATACAGGCTTGATCTTCTGGTCTGATACAGGCTTGATCTTCTGGTCTGATACAGGCTTGATCTTCTAGTCTGATACAGGCTTGATCTTCTAGTCTGATACAGGCTTGATCTTCTGGTCTGATACAGGCTTGATGTTTTTGACAGCCCTTGATGCTGCAGGGATGCTCAACTGGATGTAGCTCTGGATGTAGCAAGAACAAGTGAAGAATTGAAGAAAATGGACCCTCAGCCAAGTGACCTCATATAATACTATCTACTTACACTGTGCCCTCTGAGGTGACACTGGACAGGATGGACCACCTATGGGATCTGTCCAAAAATGTTAACATCAGTTCCATCAGGAGCAAGCAGAAGACAGATCTAGAACATGAGAAATTCTGTGCAACAAGGTCATAAAACAGTATAAGAAAAAAAAAACCTTTTAAAATTCAGGTTATTAGCTGAGCATGGTGGAGCATGCTTGCAATCCCAATACTTAGAATGTGGAATTAAAGATCAGGTAGATCTCTGTGAGTTCAAGAGATTTGGTCTGTGGCCTGGTCTACAAATTGAATTCCTGGACAGCCTGGGTTGTTACACAGAGAAACCCTGTCTAGAAGATGGGGGGGGGCAGGGGGGAGGGGAGGGGAGGGGGAGAGGGGAAAGGGGAAGGGAGAGGGAGAGGGAGAGGGAGAGGGCGAGGGAGAGGGAGAGGGAGAGGGAGAGGGAGAGGGAGAGGGAGAGGGAGAGGATCAAGAGTTCAAGGTCATCCTCAATGCTACACAGTAAGTTTGAGGTCAACCCAGACTGCGTAAGACCCTATCTTAAAATGGAAGAGAAAAAAATGAGATTAATCAGAACTAAAATATAACTAAATGTACTATATAGTAACTAAATATAGTGCATGTTCCTTGATCAAAATAAGATTTGTAGTCAGGTATGGTGGTACACACTACCATACTCAAAAGGCAGAGGCAGAGGTAGAGGCAGAGGCAAAGGCAGAGAGATCTCTGTGAGTTCAAAGCCACCCCATTCTACATAGCAAGATCCAGAACAGCCAGGGCTATAGAAAGAGACCCCATCTCAAAAACCAAACCAAACACCCATAACAGATACTTGCAAAAGTTGTTACTAGAACCACTAGAAAAACTTGGATGCAGGCTAAATATAAAACCAAACTGAATCATTGCTAAATTCCTCAGGTGTGATAATAGTTGCAGGGCGAAAATATCCGTGACTCGAGGAATATGTGTTGATAGAGTTTGGGGTGATGTGTTATAAAGCCTGCAGCTTTCAGCAGAGGGAGACGCGGGGAGGAGCAAGCACGGCTAGATGTTAGCCCTGGCAAATCTGGGTCTCTGGGTGAACGGGGTGTGGGTGGGACCAGATGGAGCAAGGCAGAGGGAAAGTGATGCAGGAAAAGCCCCAAAGAACGTCGCTACGATCTGGTTCCCGAGCAGGAGGCAAGAAAAGGATGCTTACAGCAGCACACAGTCTTAAAGCAAGCCGGACCATGGCCTTGTAGTGGTCTGGATACCAGTCACCCAAACATGCAGGCACAACTCGGGAAGACTCGCCACCCACAGTGAATCTGACTCCATGGTGAGCTAAGCTCAGTGAAGAACAGGGGCTCTCAGGACATAACCAGACCCCAAAGAGACAAGGCATATCACAGCCAGGGCAGAACCTCCCCATCTTGGCTAAGCTGTGGCAAGGAGCCAGGTGTAGCCCTAGACCCTCTCCACCCCCAAACATCCCTTGAGGGGTGACAGTCTGAGTATATCCTCCCGTATAAGGAGCCAGGCTAAATATGGAACCCCAGACACAAGATGCTTCTCAAAACAGATTTTCCTGGAAAAGACCATCTGGCAGAGGAGGTCTAGAGCATCGTCTGTTAAGAGAGGCAGCTTCGGTCCCTGCAAGCTGTCCAGAAGGAAAATGCCTTTACCTCACCTCCCCAGGAGACCCCAGTATAATACTCCAGTACCCTCCAAGGTCATGCCTGAGCAGAAAAGCAGGTGTTCAGGTCCACCCCTGTCCTAAGCTGGAGTTCCAGGAGAGAACAGGAGGTAGCTGGGTGCATACAGCTGGGGACACGGGTCTGGGCCTCATAAAGTTCTGCCTAGGTCCTACCTACCTCTACTAGATACTTGGAGCAGACAATTGTTCCCTGGGCCCAGGGGCCTCTCCATCAGAATGGGAGCGATAGTGGTGTCTCCCTCCAAAAGCTCAGAGGTGTTGGGGTACCCCCACACAGCGACTTGCTCCATCAATGAAAGTAAGGCATAGTGGCATCCCCAGACTGTCTCTCAGTCTTGGGGAGAGTAGAAAATCATTCCGACTAGTTTTCCTCTCTCCCCTGAGAATTGACCCTGGATCTGCTTAGGATGTGTGTCCTCTCCTCGGTAATGAGCAGACAGGGCAAGCCTGCACACAGAAAGGAGACCTTAGTCTGGCACAGGGCATTTCAGAGTTCCAGGGACAAATGACCTGGGTACTGAGAACTTGGTCCTGCAGGAGATGCCAGTGGAAGGGGCCTTCCAGGAACTCTGTCATCCCTCAGTCTTCTCACCCCAATGTGTGGGGACCCCTGAGGGCTGTGGCCATGTCTATAGGCCTCCTGTTTCCACCAGTACCAAACACTGTAGGAACCCCACTCAAAACCATGCAGCAGGAGAGAGGGCTCTGAGGGAACAATTCTTTCCTCCAGATCCCTGGGTGGACAAGAAGAATGGCTGTCCCATTGTCTTGATTCACAGATCCCAGGCCACAGAACTTCTAGCTTCCTTGTGAGAAAGGCATCTGTCTGGGAGTGCGGGAGGACGTGGAGGTGGTCCCCATGACCCTTGCCTACTATCTTTCAAGCTGAGTGCTATTCATAAAGCAGCTCTCATCTTCTGACTCTGGAAGAGACCTGGGAAAACCTAACATTACCCCAGGCCCACTCTCCTGCACTAGCCAAACCAGAGCAGGCTGCCTAGTCTCAGTCACCTCAGCCAGACTTGTCCTGAGCTGACAGGACTCTTGTGCCCTCTTGCACCATAACAGTTGTATCTTCCCCCAGATCTCTGTCTGAGCCCTGCAAGATGGACCTAAGACAAAGGGGTGGGCATTGGGCAGTTGGTCCAAGGTCTTGTGTAGAAACAATGCCCTGGATCTTATTTCAGAGAGTCCCAGATCCTCCAGGGACAAGCGTCTAGGAGAGAGCCAGCTGGATAGGGTGGTCCCCACATCTGGATTCCCAGCCCCACCCAGCCCCAGCACCCGGTTCCAAGGACCCCTCTGATCAAGGCTGCTTCTGTGAGGCCTGGACTTGCCTACTGCCTGCCACGCCCCCATTCGAACCCCTGCTCTTGCAAAGACAGAGCCCAGGGCCCCCAGGCCTGCCTGCCAAAGTTGGGAAACTGAAAACAGACATAAATCCTCAAAGATGTTCCGTTGTGGAGGTAGCTCTAGCAGACCCCAGCACACAACACCCCAACCACAGACCACCAAACTGACACTGGTACCCTACACACACTGACACTGGTTATACAAAAGGGGGAGGGGACCGGGAGGCAGAGCCCTGGAGACAATTGGGCCGGCAGCCCCATCCTCCCTACAGGCCGGTCTGGGGCTCTTGGCGGCGCCCCCACTCCCTGGCCCAGTCCTGACCATCTCGGGCTTCCTCTCTCTGCCCCATCTCCATGACAACCGCATCCTTTGGATGCTCCAGCCACCACGAAATTGATCTCGAAATGTAGCTTTGTTAGCAGACCCTAGCGGGCAAAAGGGCGGAGGGCGGCTCCCGCCACCCAGCCTGTGTTCCTCTCCCAACCCTGAACCCCCTCCCAGTGTCTAGCTGACCTCCTGAGAAGAGGGGCGGGGTCCGTGAGCATGCAGGCCTTGGGGGACACAGTTGGCCGTCGGCCCTACTCACCGCTCGTGTCCCAGCCGCTGGGTCCCCTCTCACGGTGGGGCCATGCGGAGGCCACCCCGGACCCGCGGTCCCGTGCCGCCGCCTGTTGGAGCTCCCCGCGTTCGCTTCTGTCCCCTCAGGTGTTGGAGCCTCGGCTGTGGAGAGGCTGGACAGAGAAGGAGGGGACGGACTGCAGGAGGAGGGAGCAGGGAAGGAGGGAGGGAGGAGCGGGAAGGACGAGAAGGGCGGGAGGGGGGCGGGGGAGACTGCCGGCGCGCGCGCAGCCTGGAGGGGACCGTGGCCACCAGGAGAGCCCACCCGCGGCGCCTGGCTACAAGCGTCCGACCTTGTGCGGGGCTCCCACCCACCAGAACACGGCCACCGACTCCAGCATGAGCTGGACCCTTTAAGAAAGTGGGGGAGGGGAGTTCCACGAGGTTCCGCCCCCCCCCCCCCCCCTAGCCCCCCCCTCCCTCTGTCCTCGAACCCCTGGCAGACCCAACCACTGTCCCTCAGGAGAGTCCACTGTCCCAACTCTCCCAGTCCCTGACGGGCCAGGCCATTCTCCAGGTGAAGGCGGAACGGGCCTTGCCCCACCCCAGAATCCCTATTCTCATCCTGGGAGAGACCACCCTGGAGTTTAGAGAGCAAAGTACAGAGTCACAGTGGGAGTTAGGCACCCAGAGGTACAGACTTGGAGTGACAAGGGGAGTTGAGGACAGAGCTGAAAGAGGTAAAAGAGAGGAGACAAAAGAGAGGCCCTGCTGCAGATGGAGGTGAGAATCGGCCCCTAGGCAGGGTGAGGACAGAGGGCACTCTGGGACACAGAAACCATCTCTCCAAGCACCTGCCCCATCCTCTAGCTAACCATGACCTTGCAGGCCGGCCCGCCCCCCCTCCCCCCCGGTCCCCCTCACGTTGCCCCTCGCCTCGCCCCCAGCCGCCCCTCCCACTTCAGCTTCCTGGAGGAAGTTTGAGGAACTCTACCTAGACTACACACTAAGGAATCCTTGGCTGTAAATCTACAGAGATCCTACTTCGCAGAGAGACACTACCGGGCTTCACACCCTGGAGTCTGAGGACACCCGGGATGAGAGAAAGAGGGAAGGGCTAGAAGGCCCAGTCCTGGGGACAGAGGAGGATCAGGGGCTACCACAGAACTCCACTTTGCACATTCCTCCCTCTGCTTCCGCTTCCAGGTTCTAGTCACCAAACCAAAAACCTCCTCATGTCTGCAAGTGTTCTACCTTATGCCTGCAGTGGTCGGGTCGCTGTTAACTCTCAAACCCATGTTTTTAAATGTCACTTCTACCATGAAGCCGCCCCTGATATGTATGTATGTATGTATGTATGTATGTATGTATGTATGTATGTATGTCTCTGTCTCCCTCTCTCTCCCTCCCCTCTCTCCTTTCCCCCTCTCTCCTTTCCCCCTCTCTCCCTCTCCCTCTCTCCCTCCCTCTCTCCCTCCCCTTCTATCTCTCTTCCTCCTTCCTCTCCCTCTCTCCATTTCTTCACTTTTTCCCTGTCTCCCTCCCCACTCCTACACACACACACACACACGCACACGCACACGCACACGCACACGCACACGCACATGCACATGCACACGCACACACACTTGGATTCTTACAGGGACAAAGAGAGGATCTGCTAGCCCTTGGGAGATGCCTGACTCACTCCAGTGTCCTCTTAAGATCTGATTGGCTTCCCCTCATCAAGCTGGACCTGAGGTTTCATCAGCCACCATGACACTTTCACTGTAGACTGCCACAGTCGCCTCTAACGCTTTCTTTGTGTCTTACTTGACTCAAAGTGTCCCTAATGCTCCAAGAGCAGACCTCATTTGCCACAGGTTTCAGGAGACAGGTGGGCAGTTGAGACAGTCCTTCACAAACACCAGCCCACAGACACTGCCTTCTGCGTGCAGGATCCTCAGACCTTCTTGAGGAGCAAAGAGGAAGACTCCATGGCTGTCCTGGAGGTGAGGAAGGTGCCCATGGCTAGGCCTCAGGAGGAGGTAGAGGCTCCAGCCATTTCTTACTGTTCACTCTGCTGGGTCTCAACTGGACCACTATTCTAGGCTCCAGCTTTGTCTGCCTCATGCAGATGGCAGCAGACCTTGACTCATGGGGCTGGGTGGGAACAGATGGAGCTGAAGAACTGTGTGCTTGTGGCCCTCAATGAGCCGTGGCTAATCCACTGGTAAGGATGGCTTGCTAGGACCGGAAATGTAACTCAGTGGTTAGAGTGTTTGTCTAGCATCCAACCATGCATGAGACCTTCATAGAAGTGATTCTTTACCTTTTGTCTGCCATGGTTGAGACCTGTCAGATTAGGTTTGCCTTGCTCACAGGTATCCGCAGCTCCTATACTCATAGCAGGTAAGAATGACTTCGAGGGAGGGGCACATGCTGAGGCATAGCTGGCATCTACCCTGAGTCTGCTACGCCTGCCCTTTGAAAGGGGACAGGACGGCGCCCTACGCAACAGTCTAATGCTTCCCCATCATCCAGCACAAAATGAGAAGCAACAGTTCGGCCCCCGCTTCTTTCTGCTCACCTTACCTGAGGGAATCTCAGGGGTCAGGCGAGGCCTTGCAACAACAACCACTCCTCCTTCTTCCAGAGGAAGAATGAGGCCTGGGCAGGGAAGGCTGTGCTCCAGAGGAGTCTCAGGTAATCTCAGGGTGTCCTGTAGGTGCTGCAGTGAACACCCTTCCTGTAGCCCAGCCCTCTCCAGCCCCATGCAGATAAAGACACTGGTTGCCCTACCCAGCCTCCCCTTTGGACAGTCCCCAGCCTTACGAACTCACCTTGCTTTCAGGGTTTCAGGGTTCGCTCCCTGCCTGGGGAGTCTCCCTTCACCCATCCACCTCCTAGTCCCTGCCAGCTCTCCAGCCACTGTCCCCATTCCTCTCCAGGGAACACGGGAGCTCCTTCAAAGCTGTCCCTGCCAGTGGTCTCCAATTCCTGTCTCTTGAAGAATGCTCTGAGCTACTTTCTCCTTGCTGTGATCAAATACCTGACAAGAGCAACTTGGGGAGGAAGGGTTGGGATTTGGGCTCACAGCCTTGGGAGACGGCATGCTGGCAGGAGGCTGCTGGTTGCCCTGCAATAGTCAGAAAATGGAGAGATGAATGGGATATTTTGTTCTCTTCCTCCTTTGCCCCGCTTTAGTTCAGGACCCCAGCCCGTGAGGTGGTGTTATCCACATTTAAAGGTATGTCTTCCCACCTCTGTTAACCCAGGCTAGAAACTTACTGATATGCCCAGAGATTTGTCTCCTAGGTGAGTCTAGCCCCTGTTAAGATGGTATCCATATTAGCAGAGTCTAACCCATCTCTTCTGCCCTCACACAACCCACGACCCCATTCATCAGAACCACGACACAGCTGCCGAGCACAGGTGCGCAGGGCAGGTGTGGCACAGGGACATCTGAGTTTGTGGGCACCTCAAGGAGCCGGGATCACCTCTCCTGTCACCGTGCTATGAGCTTGGCACAAGGCTACATATGCCAGAGAAAGGCAGTGATTTTGCATCCCAGAAGTAAATGAAATAGGACTGGGTACATCGCCAGACCCACTCGAATCACACAAAGGTCCTGGAGGCTGATGGCAGCCTGGGCCTTGTGGCAATGCCAAGCCCATATCCAATGTATGCATACACTTCTTTATTCTCTGTAGTGTTGGACAGAGTCCTCAGTCCTTGGGGTTCATGCTTTCCTTCCAAGACTTCCTTAGTCATGCCTCCTGGTCCCTCAGCTTTCTCTGACTCAGTATATGGCCCTCCCCATTCTCTGCTCCCTGGGGCACCGTCAAAGCCAAGCTAAATGCAATGAGTGACAACACATGACCCCCAGGTCAGACCTAGATCAGTACCGGCTGAGGTTCCTGCCTTAGCTCAGCCCAGTGGAGTCCCCAGCCCTCCTGCTGCCCTTAGCCACCCAAGTCACACTTTGGAATCATCCCTGCCTTCCTCTCCACTACAACCAGTCCCCAGATGATGTCTAAAATATCCCACCTGTGTCCCAAGTTGGCCGCTTCTGGCCAGTCCCACTGCCACAGTATAGCCCAGCCACCTTCTCTCCTCTGACGGTGGCCTCATAACTGGTCCCATCCCACACCCCCAGCACAGCAGCCATAGGGGAGTTAGGAAACGGACAGACAGCACAGC